CTGAAGCCTGGCTATGGGCATGAACAAGAGGAGCTTTGAATCCAGTTTGAGGTTGGAGGAAATAAATGATTTACGGGAGTGAGCTTACTCTATCAGTTGAGTACCTGAAAGTGAGTGGAAAGCCATGAAATTGGCTCTGAATTTAGAACGAGAAAGGCTCAACACTTGTGTGCTCTGCCATTCTACCTATTACCAGGGAAGAATTGTCAGGGCCCTGTAGGGGGCCAGTCTCTTTACTTGTGAACCAAATCCCATCCCTTCTTGCTTCTTCAAGGATGGCTCTCCAGCAATTATCCCCTATCTCCCACTGCATCAAAATTTTTCTCTCTACTGCATCTTTCCCTCAAGCACGCAAGCAACACTGTTATTTCTCCCTCATTCACACTGATATGTTGGCCCACTTCCAGTCTCAGCTGCAGCATTCTTTGTCTGGCCATCTCTGAGGCACAAGCCCTTGTGGAATTGCTTACATTTGCTGGTTCCAGTTCCTTTCTTCCTTTTTTCTCTCAAACCAAATCCAGCCTGACTTTTGCCCCCACCAGACCATCAACATGGCCATTGGCAGGGTAGTCAATGACTTCCATGTTGCCCAGTCCAATGGTCCATTCTGGTCTTTGTCTTGGGTGAGCCATCAGCAGCATGGGTCAGCTACCAACCTGTCCTCTTGGATGCATTTCCTTCCCTTGGTTACCAGGGCAGCACATTCTCTTGTTTTCCCTCCATTACCTGTCTACTCCTTCTAAGCTCCCTTTATCTCACTTCTTCTGAATGTTGGAAGCTCTAGGGCTCAGTCCTCAGCCCTCTCTTTTTCTGTATCTTCCCTTGTTGGTTTTATCCAGCCAATGACTTTAAAACACTATCTGTATGCCAGTGACTTCCTAATTTGTATCTGCAGCCTGGACCTCTCACAGACTGAAGACAAGCACGCTCAGCTGCCTCCTTGGCATCCCCACTAGGATGCTATGCTCTGCTAACAACATCCTCACATCTCAGCAGCGTATCACAGAAAGGTTCAGTTCTCACTCATGCTATGTGTTCCCCACGCTCAGCACGGTGTCATCAGCTCTCCAGGACTCAGGCTGATGGAGCGGCTCTCAGAATACTGCTGATCCTCCTGCAAAGGAAAATAGAAAGAGTGGCAAACCATGAAGGGGTTCTTAAAGTTTCTGCTCACATTCCTCTAGCCAAATCAAGTCCATGGTTGTTCTTGACATCCATGATGTGGGAAGCTGTAGTAAAAATTTGTGAACAATAACACAGTATATCAGATACACCCAAGAGATATCTTAAACACTCATCTTATCCAAAACCACACGCCTTCTCCCATACATTCCCCAGTTTCCTCCATTTCGGTTGATGTCAAGTCAATACTAATCATTCAAAATGTTAGGTTCATTTTTTAAGTTTGTTTACTTGAAAGGCAGAGCCTCAGAGAGATGGGGAGGGGGGAGGAGGAGACACAGAGACAGAAAGATCTCTTCCATCTCCTGGTTTACTCCCCAGAGACCTTTGCAATGGCTGATCCCTCTGCTGGGATCCTCTTCCCCCCACAGCCACACGTCTCCCCCTCCCCACTTTCTTCCCATCTTGCCTTCTCAGTGAGGCTTGCTCTCACCCGCTGTTCAACATTGCAACCCCTTGCTCCAGAATCTCCTAACCCTACAGCACTATTGCTTTCTCATTCCCTGTATAACTTCTCTACTTGCTGTGAGCATCGTTTGTCTATCTGCCCATCAGAATGTAAGTTCAAAGAAGGCACAAGTGTTTGAGTCAGCTTTACTCCCCGTTGTATGCATCAAGTTTCTAAAAACAATGCCTAGCATACAGTAGGTGCTCAATAGTTTTCTGTGTTGGGGGCTGGCACCGTGGCTCATTTGGTTAATCCTCTGCCTGTGGTGCCGACATCCCATATGGGTGCCAGGTTCTAGTCCCAGTTGCTCCTCTTCCAGTCCAGCTCTCTGTTGTGGCCCAGGAAGGCAGTGGAGGATGGCCCAAGTCCTCGGGCCCTGCACCCGCATGGGAGACCAGGAGGAAGCACCTGGCTCCTGGCTTCGGATCAGTATAGCTCCAGCTGTAGTGGCCATTTGGGGGGTGAACCAACAGAAGGAAGACCTTTCTCTCTGTCTCTCTCTCTCACTGTCTAACTCTGTCAAATAAAAAAAAAAACAGTTTTCTGTGAAATTAATTAAGGTGCAAATAGCACTATAGCATGGTCAAGTGTTCAAGAGCTTAGTTCTGAAAGAATCTTAGGCCTTGAAAATCACAAAGAGGTGAATTCAAATTAATCCAGGATTAATTTCCACCACCGAATCTCTGGATATGCCTGGGGACCACCATGAATGTGCAAGGTTTTGGCTGGTGCACGGAAGGAGAAGCTTTATTGTCATAGCTATCAACTTTTTATCCTTAATTATGATCGGCGGTCCATTTTCTCATGTCCAGCAATCAGGAAATGTTTTTAATATATGTAAGTAAACAAAACACATCATTTGGAGGGGAAAAATAAACAGTACAGATGGTGAAGAGACAGACTAAACCTTTGAAGATGGTGTGGAAATGAGCTATGGCTGGGAGGCCCTGGACCACCCAGAGGAGTGGGGGATGGGGGCAGGGCTAGGCAGTGAAGGAGGCAGTGATGTTGGAAGCTGGCAGTCAGCAGGGCCCAGCCCATGGAGGGGCTTGAGTTCCCTTCCCTCAAGGTTGCCCACTTGCTGCTGAGCCTGGTCACCAGCGGGCTGCTGGCTCCTGGAGAAAGCTCAGCCCAGGGGCAGCGCTGTCTGAGGGGCTCTTCAGTGGTTGGTGCCCCCATCAGTCACAGTCAGGCCACAGTTGCCATCCTCCTGGCATTAGGCTTGATGCACATCTTGGCCCCAAGTTCCAGGCTTGAGTCACCTCTGCCAACTTCCTCTCCTCCCTGTGCTCCCCAAGGATGCTTGATATTTCTTTTTTTTTTTTTTTATTTTTGACAGGCAGAGTGGACAGTGAGAGAGAGAGAGACAAAGGTCTTCCTTTTGCCATTGGTTCACCCTCCAATGGCCGCCACGGCCGGCGTGCTGCGGCTGGCGCACCGCGCTGATCCGAAGCCAGGAGCCAGGTACTTATCCTCGTCTCCCATGGGGTGCAGGGCCCAAGCACTTGTGCCATCCTCCACAGCCCTCCCTGGCCACAGCAGAGAGCTGGCCTGGAAGAGGGGCAACCGGGACAGAATCCGGTGCCCCGACCGGGACTAGAACCCAGTGTGCCGGCTCTGCAAGGCGGAGGATTAGCCTAGTAAGCCGCGGCGCCGGCCTGATGCTTGATATTTCTATGGAACCTAGATTCCCCAGCCCAATGGGGGAAGGCGCGGAGAGGGGGAGGGAGGCAGAGGAGAATGAATTACGGTTCTGAAGTCTCCACATCTCCCAAAGCCGTTGGAAATTTTCAACATGTGACAGTCGTACCCTGGGAACCACAATTTTTCCTGTATTTTCTTTTCTTTTTAATGATTTGTCCATTTATTTGAAAGGCAGAGTTACAGAGAGGCAGAGGCAGAGAGAGACAGAGAGAGAGAGAGAGAGAGGGAATCTTCCATCCACTGATTCACTCAGGAGCTTCCCCCTGGGTCTCCCATGCAGGTGCAAGGGTCCAAGAACTTAGACCATTTTCTACTGCATTCCCAGGCTGTAGCAGAGAACTGGATTGGAAGTGGAGCAGCTGGGATGAGAACTGGCACCCACATGGGCTGCCAGCACCACAGGTGGTGACCTTACCTGCCATGCCACAGTGCCGACCCCTCCTTTATTTTCATAATGCTTTACTCTTCCCATCAGAGGCTCCATTCCAGTCAGGCCTATCATTGGGACATATGACTGTGGGGAGCAACTGAGACTAGACTAAGTTACCGGAATTAAGACTTAATTCTATGCATCTGCTCTCCCACAATATGGCGCTGGGGAGGAGTAAACTTCTACGCAGCTGCCTCTCGCCAATTTGACTGATGAGCTGCAAGAGCTGATCCTGCTCCTGATTGGAGGAGAGCAGCGTGCTCGGCGTGTGGGTAGCAGAGTTGGGATTGGTGGAAGAGGACTATAAAGGAGGAGAGAGACAACATGCACCAGGAACATCTGAGGGAACATCTGAGGGAACACCTGAGCAGCCCCCGAGAGAGCTGGCTGGCGGTGTGCCGCTCCCCCACGGAAGTGGGGAAAGTGGCAGAGGGTACTGCCCCTCCACGGAGGTGGAGGGGTTGGCAGCCAACCCGGGAAGGACCAGCAGCAAACCCGGGAAGGGCAGAGCAGACAAAAGAACAGCGCAGGGTCCTGTGTCGTTCCTCCGCGAATGGGGGAGCGACATATGACATATGTGACATATGACATACCACATGAAGAAAATTACTCTCCAGCCTCTGGGCTAAAGCGGTCATCCCTCCGACTTCTCCTGGTCACTCTCCAGCCCCTTCCCTTCCACTTGCGTGCCTTAAGGAGGCCACCCTGGGACATTTTGAGATGATTGGGCCACATCATCTGTCCATCCATCCATCCATCTGTCCTCCACTCATGCAATTAATTTGTTGTGTATTGAGGTCTTCATTATGCACACACCCGCTCTACAGGGTGGGTTGGTAGAAAGGGAGAGTTAGAGAAGTTATATATGGTCACAGTCAGTGTCACAATCACACAGCCTGTGAGGAAAGTAAGATAATGCGTTTTCTTCTTCTAAATGTAGAAATTATGAGGTCCCGGGCGGAGGAGCGTGTGTCAGGGTCACAAAGCAAGTGCTTGTTGGAGCACACTCGGAGCGCGGGGTCCATGCTCTCAGACTGGCTTGGTGAGTTTGGGCAGGGGAAGAGGAGGGGGCAGGCAGTAAGTCCTCATTTCCAGAAGAATCTTTGGTGCATTTTTCTTGCCCTAAGGTTTTTTTTTTTTTTTTTTTCTCCCTTAAGCTCTATCGCAATGGCCAAATTCAGTGAGCTTTCACACAAACTGGTTTCACAGCCACACACGTCGTGCATTTTAAACCTCTGCTACTCCCATTGCAAAAAAGGGTTTAAGGAGCCCAGCGCCGTGGCTCACTAGGTTAATCCCCCGCCTGCGGAGCCGGCATCCCATGTGGGTGCCGGGTTCTAGTCCCAGCTGCTCCTCTTCCAGGCCAGCTCTCTGCTGTGGCCCGGGAGTGCAGTGGAGGATGGCCCAAGTGCTTGGGCCTGCACCTGCATGGGAGACCAAGAGAAGCACCTGGCTCCTGGCTTCGGATCAGTGCAGTGCACCGGCCATAGTGGCCATTTGGGGAGTGAACCAACAGAAGGAAGACCTTTCTCTCTGTCTCTCTCTCTCTCGCTGTCTATAACTCTACCTGTCAAATAAATAAATAAAAATCTCTTTTTAAAAAAAGGGTGTGGCTCTAATGTAGGACTTTGGAATTACAGGTGAAACCCCAGTTAGCTCTAACTTACCCATGCATGAGCAGGGAGCAGGAGGGGTGGGTCATGGGAGCATCCCCTTGTCTGCTGTGGCCAATTTCTGCATTTGATGTGGCTCAGGCATGACAGCCACACCAGGAGTTCACAGCACAGGAGGTGGACACCAGGTCTGACCATGAGCTCTGGCCAGGGCCCATGCACACCTCACTTCCTCCTCCTGCCCCTGCTCTGGTGGACTTAGGATCTCATCTCCTGGGCTGATGGATGCAAAAGATGGGTCTAAGCGGGGAGGCCCCTGAAAAGCCGTGTGCCCGTGAAGCAGGGAGATGCTTCTGAGGTTTTCCCAGTTTCAGGAGAGGCACGGACAGGAGAATGATGTGCGGACACCTTATCAGAAGCAGCCCTTCCCCCACCACAGCCCCTGCCACATCACCCATTTCTGCTCTCTTCACAGCCTCCACTCTGTTCTGACATTTCTTAGTTGAGGTTGTGCTTCCTGACCTGTTAACATCTGTCCCCGCTCTAGAATGAAGCCCCACGAGACCCGGGATTTCATCTCCTTTGACTGGGTCTTCTAGAACGCTGCCTGGCCCAGAGATGCTCCAGTCATAGCCCCCAAGACCCACTTGGAAGTGAGTTCATGGAAGGGTTGCTGAGGGTGGTCACCTGGGAAGCACGGGTGTGCTGACTTTACCAGGAGCCGCAGGAGCTCAGAGAACCGCGCCAGGTGGTACCCAAGTCTCAAATCAGCTCCTCGCCCCCCCATTCCTCATCGGTAAAATAGGTGAAGAAGAGTTAGTGAGTAGCAGCTCTGTGTCGCTCCATGCTGGGCTCCAGGGCTGCTGTGGTGACTGAGACCAGTCTTCTGCCCTTGCAAGAGCTCACACAGGTGTCCCCATTTCGAGGTTTACCAATAAGCACGAACAACCACAGCGTGGAGGAGCTCCCTGGGAACTGAACAAGGACTGGGAGAGCAACGAGGGAGACTCCTCTGGACGTCAGGAAAGTAAGACCAGGAACGAAGGAGGGGCTGGAGGGTGCTGGGGGAGGTGTGCAGAGATCAGAGGAGCAGCTCCCAGGATGGAGGCCACACACGGAGGGGAGGGGACCCCTGCTGGAGGCCCATGCGGGACACGCCCAGAGGTCAGAGGCAAGGAGGAGTGTGCAGAGATAGGCGTGGGCCAGACATGTTGCACAGGGCAGAGAGAATTCTAAGGGGTCATTCCTTCCTTCCTTTACTGATTCACTGATTCAGGATTGCCTCCTGCTGCTCAGAATCATTCTCAGCATTGGAGACACAGGGGCAGAAAACCACAAGTCCCCTGCCTTGAAGAGCGTCTATTCTAGACAGAAGCATCGATGAGCAAAAACAAGTAAGTCATTGTGGTACAAGGTGATAAAAGCTATGGAGGAAAATGAAAGCAGGGGGCTGGAGCTGTGGCACACCAGGTAAAGCTGCCACCTGCAGTGCTGGCATCCCATATGGGCATCGGTTCAAATCCTGGCTGCTCCACTTTGATTCAACAATCTGCTATGGTCTGGGAAAGCAGTAGAAGATGGCCCAAGTGTTTGGGTCCCTGCACCCACATGGGAGACCTGGAAGAGGCTCCAGGCTCCTGGCTCTGGATTGGAGTAGCTCCAGTTGTTACGGCCATCTGGGTAGTGAACCAGCAGATGGAAGACCTCTCTCTCTCTCTGCCTCTCCTTCTCTTTCTGTGTAACTCTCAGTTTCAAATAAAGAAATAAATCTTTTGAAAAAGGAAATGAAAGCAAGCCTGCACCTTAGGGAATATCATGGGGAGGTGTTTCACAGTGTAGGTGTTGTGGGGAGGCCAGGCCTCTACAAGACTTGAGAGGAAGGAAAGAGAGCGATTTGTGCTGGTACACATGTAGGCCTCAAGAGGCCAATTAATCAACCTGATGGTGATGGTGGTGGTGGTACTGCTGAGGGTGGTGGTAGTACTGATGGTAGTGGTGATGATGGTGGTGGTGGTAGTGATGGTGGTGGTGTTGATGGTGGTGGTGATGGTGGCAGTGGTATGTTATTGGTAGTTGTGGTGGTAGTGACAATGGCGATAATGGTGGTAGTTATGATGATGGTGATGATGGCAATGGTGATGGTAGTGGTATTGGTGGTGGTGATGGTGGTGATGATGATGATGATGATGATGGCAGTGGTAATGGTATTGGTAGTGGTAGTGATGATGGTAGTGGTGATGGTGATGGTGGTGGTGGTAGTGATGATGATGGTGATGATGATGATGGCAATGGTGATGGTAGTGGTAGTGATGGT